CTGAATTGGACGACACGATGTCCTGTTACCAATTAATCATAACCATTACAATTTCCCACAATTTGAAAAATAGCCTTTAATAGTGATTTTTAAATATCATAATTAAGAATATGGTAATAGCTTGCAAAATGGCTGTTAATTTTCTTTCAAAACAGTCACCGGAAACTAAACCTGCGCTATTTTACAAAGTCAGTCTCTTGAATTGGTTACTATAGTGACTGTAATCAATGTTGTGATTGATGGATTTAACGGAGAGGACTTAAAATGATTGGCTTATGTAACTGTCCGATTACAGGTGTCCGATTACAGCCAACTGTCCGATTACACTGTCCGATTACAACTTTGCATATTAATTAGTGCAAAATACACCAATTTATGCACCAATCACATTTGGGGAAATTGTAATTGTCATGATCAATTAATTAATAAGCTTCACATCCGAAAACCTTTGGCGACCCTTTGGCTATCACTGCGGTTTAAGTTTTGATTAAAAACAGTATCTATGAATGGTAGTGATGCACTAAAATTATTGGCAGTAACCACCTGTATATTTCATTTCTAGTAAGATACACACCACCAGTTACCAACAACCTGTACTTGAATATTATCAGTCCAAGTCTTTATATTGTACGCAAGTTATTACTATTTCAATAATTTTCCGAGAATTTCCACGTTAGATTTAAGTTCAAAGGAATCATGCTAAGAACATCGTCTCGTTGGTTCGTTATTTATACAGAAGATACAACACAGAGGTGTTCCTCTATTTATACACAGACAATAAAACACGGAGCTGTACATGAACACAATATAAAAGTTAACGTACTAGCGTGATTTTCATCGACTTACCAACAACCTGCACTTCAATGTTATCCGTCCATCGCTTTCGGTTAGTCTATATCTCGCAGAAAAACACCGCTTCATCTGCCTCTGTCACATTGTAAATAATCAATGTTGCTGGATCACTGCGACTGATGTCAAAATGCCCCTGAAAGTTGAGGGTAGGATCTATCGAAATTGTCCCTGAAGATGTTTTCTTACCAATTCGGGTAATATCCATTCCGAATGTCATGCGATCAAGTGTTTCATCAGATGATAAAGTGAAATTCCATGTCAAATGTGCCTCAGAAGAACCGGTTATTACTTGCTGGATCGTTGTTCGAATTGAGTTGTCGCTTGGTTGCAGCGGGCCACGTTGTGGAGGAGGAAGAGTCCATGTGATAGTAGCATCTAAAATAAGTGAAGTCAAAGTTCGGACAGGTCTAAAGGTGTCAAACTTAAGAATAGTGAAGTTCATCCCCAATAACAATATTAGGCAAATATCCGTTACTGTTATTTGAGAAAATAATGTGGTATAAGCAAGTAACGTTCATGTCTACATGTAGACGTTAAAAACCTTAATATTCTCCCTCTCTTATTCCGTCCCCTCCTTCTATGATGCATACACCTTAATGAAACTCCCTGTGAGTTTTTAGAGGCACTCACCACGACCTTTAGCGGCTGGTACTAAACTGTCTCTAGGCTTTATGCGCCTACTGGCGTGAAAAGAGATGATGATCATGATGATAACTTAGCATTTTAAACTCGGTCAGGACAGCTTTATTCATACATTTACCATAGATTAAATACACTTGCATCTTCAAGACAGTTTGATTTTTAAAAAATATAGATTTGGCTATGGGAGAGCTGGTTTAAATATATATCTTCCAAGAAAAATTTCAACATCCATCATCATCATTCACCATCATTCCATTTCACTCACACTTATGAATATTAAAATTTTAAAATCATTGTAACTTTACTTTTAATGTTTAGCTTTTTAGCCTTTTATTTCGTTTTTAATCTTGTCATGCGCATTTAAACATTTTATGAAATTTGCGCATTTAAATGTTATTGCTACCATTATTATTATTAATTACGATCATTTCTGCTAATTCATCCATGCCAATGGTTTTTTCGAACAGACTGAAACAATGTTTTCACTATAAAAATACTTTGCATCCATGCTTTATCCAATACTCTTATTCTGACTCTTCTGGATTTTGGTTGATGAAACGAAAAGTAAATTATTACATTTAAGAAACAGAAAACATTTTTCGTGTTTCTATCGTGCCACTATGATCAAATTCTCCATACCCATTTTTTTACATTTTCCCACACAATAGGTCTTTCCTAGATTTCTTGCCAAATTTCAATCTATTACGAACATTAGAACTCGTGTCGTTTGGACCTTTATTTCCGAGAATTTACGGCGGCCATTAATTTTCCTTGTTCCAACTCTTGGTTGAGAATTTGAGAAAATGACGTCATTTTCGCAAAAATACCACATGGGTTGAAATTATAATAACACTTAGCACAGCAATTCGCATAAAGAATAACAAAAACTTTGGCTCATATATTCGTGCAATTTTTTACATTAATTGTTATCATAATTTCAACCCGTGCGATATTTTTGAGAAAATGACGTCATTTTCTCAAATTTTCAACCAAGACTTGGAACAAGGAAAATTAATGGCGGCCGTGAATTCTCGGAAATTAAGGTCCAAAAACCACGAGTTTTAATGTTCGTAGAAAATTGAAATTTGGCAAGATATCTAGGAAAGACCTCCATTAACGCTGATGATCGTGGAATATGACCGCAGGAAAAGGATTACGTAACACTAGGTAACTTGATATGACATGATTATGTATAAAATTATAAAATGACATGATTATGTAAAAACAACACAATTTTTTTTCTCAGTGTGCGTTTTGTACCAAGTCTGCAGTGTGCCGTTTGTACCTAGTCTGCATCTCGTACCTGGTCTTCATTTTGTACTTGGGTCTGCGCTTTGCAGTCCGCATTTTGTACTGACCGTTTGTGAAACGAATCTTATTACTATTCCATGGCTTAAAACGCGTCTAAGAGGTTTTCTTTGCTCCTTAGCAGCTTGGTGCAAGATCCAGTCTCTCAAGGATAAGCGAGTTTTGGGCGGCTTTCCTCTCAATAAATAAACCAATTTCGATATATTAAAATTCATCCTAAAACAATGGACCTCAGTACGAGGCTTTCCGGAATAACTGCAGAGTTTGTAGGGTTTTGTTTCCCAGAGCCTCAAGCTCAGGTCTATATAATTGCTCTATTCTGGGATCCCACAAGAAGTTACTTGTACCCATTCCACTTAGAGGACAATTTGAATGCCTTAGCCTAAATTATGAGAGTCCGTGCTTGCACGTGAATTTACAAGCGCAAAACATTCTCAACAATCTTGCGTTCTTCCTAAATATTATTCTTACAGCAAAACATTTTGCTGCTCTTTCTAATAGCTTGTCCTGACAATCCTCATATTCTCAAAGTAGACTGGTAGACTTCCACGTTGACATTTGTTTACCACTGGGTTCCTCAAATTAACGCCTTCTGAACTGATTACCGTCAAATCTAGTCTAGTGTCTTGACTTAGAATGGGAACCAGTCTGGTGAACTAGACAACGTATTAGACAACAAGACAGCCTGTTTTTATATGGGGTCTTGTACTCTTTTACAGATTATCCCTTGGCATTTTCTCTCTTTTAGGAATTATTATTTTGTGTTTACATGTAATTAATTTAGCGCCATGAATTTCTTCTAAATTCAAACGTAAACGAAATGGTCGGGAGATTTTGGCCATGGAAACTAAAAAAGATCAAGCATTTATATCGCGACCGAATTCCTGTCCTGTTTTTATTACAAATTTCTATGGATATGTCGAATTCAAAGATATCCGTGTTATTGATATCTCGGCCAAAGCCGAAAATATATATAAAGCTTACGCTTTCGCTAGTGTTCTGAGTTCTCTAGTTCTCACGTAGTGCTGCGTATCGTGTTTACCGGTACAATAAACAATAGGTTTTTGACCAATCAGAGCGGGCCTAGTATGTCAGTTATTTTATTCTAAACAATAAACAATACAGGCTCTAAGATTGACTTCTGACCAATGATGCATTGCAAAGCTTGACAACTCAAAGCAATTAATGTGCAGTTACGTCACTTTTTTCCATCAAAAGTAGATTGAGATATTAGCAATAATACTTGAGGATATTATCACTATAACAGGTTTTGATTGAGCGGAAGAAAAAGGAAATATGAACAATTTAAAACAAACCTCATGAAAGATTTCAGAGTCGATCGACTGTTGATATACGTCTAGCAAAGTTCAACGCGATACATTAATGATATGATTTTTACGATTCGATCGACTTTCAACGCGTATTGGCCTTAAATTACATAACCAGATAGTATCGATCGACCCACTACGTGTCTATATACACAGACAAGTATAGCTATTATATTTAAAGCTAAAAGGTTAAGCTACAGTTAATACCTGTTATGTTCAGTCGAGAAAACAATATTCCATAGGCAAGTAACTTGCACAGAAAGTCTTTATAATCCTGAATCGTCATGTTCGCTGACATTCACTCGAAGAAAACAGCAACACGGAAGAGATTGTGTCTCTATGGCAGCCTTGGTTCTTTATATTTAGGCGCAAGAGGAGATGAGAGGCTCCGAAAGATCAGTGACAGCCATTTTGTACCAGAGGCATCAGGAAACAAAGGCTTGCGTGACAAGCTACCGAATAACAATGCAGCCCGTGACAATGACACATGTTGAGACAAAACAACACAGCAACGTTTCGCAAGACTGATCCATGAGTTCGTTATGAACAAAATGCTAAATGGTCAATGAGTCGAGAAGCCTACCACCAAGTTGGTTATGATCTAAACTAACTTCAGTATTTGAACTCCACGGTGTTTCTATCGGTGTTTTTCTTTTTTTGGCCAGTGATACGAATATGCAACACACGGTTGTTAGTGGACCATTCAAGGAAAAATTCCGTGGCTTCTGATTTACTATTAGGAAGGAAGTGGCGATTTTTGGTAGTGTATTAATTTAATTTGGTTTTAGCAAAGATATCAGTGACGTCACCTATTATTATTAATATGCCAACCAGAGAACTGTTGGGTGGTTTAACAAAGAGTTCTTTCGCGTCTTTCATTCTTTCAAAGAGTTCTTTTGTTTAACGTTTTGCACATTTAAATAAAAAAGACAATGTTTGTAAACAAATATCTTCGCTATAGCGGTTATTTAGAGTTCCAATTCAAAAATATAGCGAAATGATTTACTCTCATTATTCGGGTGTAAACTGATTTTCAGGTTCATCAAACGGATTATTACAAGTGCCTGACAAAGAAACTAAAGAACACTAAGAAACAGCAACTCAGAAGTGGCAGTCTTCTTTCTCCCCCGTTTAGCAACAAGAGTGGATGAGACAAAGTCTTAGCCCCTTTTTTCTTACGCGCTCCCTTCCAGTCTCCACCGACGCATGCTAGAATCAGTGTATCCGGGAAGCAGAGACCTGGGTGGATAACTACTGCCAACAATACAGGAGCACTTAACAATAACATACTGATTTTAAGACAAAACAACTTTTCACAAGACTAAATAACAATAATTTCGTTGGAATGTAACCACTAGAAATATCGAACGGGAAAAGACCGGAGGAACGGTATAGGACGTACACAATCAAAAGGAAAACAACAACTGAAGCAAATCAAAAGCAGGAGCCATGAAAATATGCTTGAATGGATTTCAATGGACTTCAATGGATTTCAAGCATATTTGCCTGAATTAGTCCGGTCTTTTCACAGGATAAGATTGTTTTCCAGTTTTCCAGCCTCGATTTCAATTCTCCTTGGTGTAGGCGTTCTCCTCTGCCAACGAGGTTTTAGTAAAATGGTGTCAAGGAATGTTGTAAATATTGTTAACCAAAGATTCCCCTATTAGGTTTCGATGACTCGCTAAGCCAGGAGAATCAGGTGTGTTTTCAACCATAATGTCTAACAAACCTTTATTAACTTCGGCGTGAAAATACTTAGACACCCGAAGGAGCTATGCCGAGCGCCCGACCCCGGGGGTACTCCCTTCTATGGGCTATATAGGTATGTGCGGCCC